ACACACACCTGACCCCTGTACTCTGTAGGTTACATATTCTAGACCTCTGCAATCTCTACATTACAAACTTCTCACCCCTGCAGTCTGTAGGTTATGCACTCCTTACCCCTGCACACTGTACATAGCACATTCCTGACCCATGCACCCTGTATGGTACACATTCCATTCCCCTGCACTCTACATTACATACACTCGGCCCCTACACTCAGTGCATGATACAGTCATTACCCCTGCACTCTGTACCTTACACACTCCAGTCCCTTGGACTCTATGTTACGTACTTCTGACCACTACACTCTGTGCAGCACACACACCTGACCCCTGCACAATACACATGCCTGACCCCTGCACTCTGTGGATAACTCTAACATCAGACCTGCAGGGACAAATTGCCCTCCAGAAATGGAAACTTAATGCCAAGTTTCTTACTGACGCTAAAAGATGGATACATTTATTTTTTTTTGCTTTTTTAGATGATCATATTTTCTAAGTTTTCTTTAAAAATCCTTTACATTTTATTGGGGTCTTGCCAGTTTATCTCCTTAAACAAAACTGTGCACCCTGATGATCTTGTGCGAGATCATGAGTGCCAAGATGACAACAGAAGAGCACAATTTGGAGTACAGAGTGTTGTCACCAGGGGCGGACTGACAACTCATGGGGCCCCGGGCAATAGGGAATCATGGGGCCCCATGTCCTTACCCAAACTTAAAAAAGCCTATGAAAAAGGTACCAGGTGCATCTCATGTGGCCCCCTACTGACCCCGGGCCCTCGGGCAGTGCCCGAGTATCCAAATGGTCAGTACGCCCCTGGTTGTCACCCTATATAAGAAAGCGCCTAAGCAAAGTACAGCATTGTAGAATAACCAGACATTATTTTAATGAAAGCTGGAGATGTAAAAAGATTAACAACTACCATTAAAATTACACTACCATGGTAATGTTAATAAACCAGAAGAATTTCCCACAGTATAACTGGATTGAAGGACCAGTGACCCACAGATCTGTCTTAATTGCTGATGTATTTTAAAGAGAAACTACTGGTTTTAGTTAGTCATCAACCTGAGTTATTATCACAATTATTTGCTTGTCGCATTTTTATATGCTTGATGCACTGTTTTTATGACCGTATTTACCAGAGATTGATAGGTTAGTAATCTAGCGCCTGTGTGTCGCCTGTGCTCAGTGACTATTGGGACACAAGAATTATAGCATGAATATACAACATGTAGACCAATGCTTCCAATGCAGTGCTTGAATTAAAGGGGAACATCAGGTGAGCTTTTAACCATATCAATGCCAGACACATTCACCCCCTTCCTGCTCAGGCTGGTTTTCAGATTTCAGCATTGTCACACTTTGAATGACAATTACTCATTGATGCAACACTGTACCCAAATGACATTTTTAGCATTTTTTCAGACAGTGAGAGCTTTCTTTTGGTGGTATTTATTCAATCAATGCTGTTTCTTAAAAAATTGTTTGCTAAATTAAAAAAAAAAGAAAAAAGAAAAAAAACATGTTTTCTTAGTTTCTATTATAAAGCTTTGCAAGAAATAATCTTTCTGCCCAAAATGTATTCTGTTCCATTTCTTTGATAAAAAAAAACCCCAAATCAGTGTATATTTACACTGTAGGAATGTTATAGAGTCTACAATCTATGACATATGTTTGAAAATTGGTCAGTCCTGATGTATCTCATTTCTCTAAAATGCCAGGACAGTACAAATACCCCCAAATGATCCCTTTTTGAAATGCAGACAGTTAGATACTGTGACCAGAGCAGTACAGTGTTACTATAGTGACACTGTACTACACTGGGGAGGTGGTCAGGATTTGTTTTGACACTAGAATTACTTATAACAGCGATGATCACTTTTACAAGCAACCATTTTTATGAATGGCATCCATTCATGTGCCATTTTGTACAATTGTGATAGCTGTGATTGACCACAGCTATCACGTGGTACAGGTTGACCCTGTCTATACCATGTGACCAATCGCAGAGATCACAACAGTAAAACATTAATGAATATGACTGAAACATTTGACATGGAATCGCTGTGATTGGTCACAGTGATCACATGGTACTGAGGCCTACCCAGTACAAGAATCTGTCCATTGAACACAGTGAGCGACAGTTCGAGCCACAGCGTGGCCACTAAAGCTACATCATACAACGTCCACCAGGAGTGCTCCTCCTGCGCACTCTAGCGGCCACGCAGTGGCTAAATCTGTATACAATAGGCTGGGCAGGAGGTAGTTAAATATTAGGATACACAGATAATGGAGTTTATTAACTAAAGGCAAATAGCTGTTAATTTTGCAAGTGAAGTTGAACTTTGCAAGGCAATTTGCTTAGTCATTGTGGTGAAATTTCACTTTACAATCATCCAATCATCCATGTGCAATGGAAAAATAAAAAACAGTGTTTTGCTTGCACATGATTGGATGATGGAAGTCAGCAGGGCTTCACCTCATTTACTAAGCTCTGGTGCTAATTACCTTGCTAAGTGCAACTTCCCTTACAAAGCTGACATCTAATTTTCCTTTAGTAAATCAACCCCACTCTATTGTTTTATCTAACCTTTCGTATAAGACCCACACTATGTGCTCCTACAAAACCAATAGAGCATATAGTGCTAATGAACAGCAGCACTCACTGACAGCAGGATACCAAAATATACAAAAACAAAAACATGTTGCGCTGCTCTTTTAAATCTAACTCGTTTCGCCTTAAAGAGATTCTAAAGGTTAATTTATTTTTTTGTAAAATAACAAACATGCCTACACTTATCTGCTGTGTGCAGTGGTTTTGCACAGAGCAGCCTGGATCCTCCTCTTCTTGGGTCCCTACTTGGCTCCTCCTGTCTGTCGGGTGCCCCCACAGCAAGCAGCTTGCTATGGGGCACCCGCTGCTCCGTGTGTCCATTCACGCATGGAGCCATAGTTTGGCCTTGCCTCCTCTCTTTCCTCATTGGCTGACTGGCTGTGACTGACAGCAGCGGGAGCCAATGGCTCCTGCTTGCTGTCTCAGCCAATGAGAAGGCAAAGACCTGGAACAGCCGAGGCTGTCATTCACATCGCTGGATCACGATAAGGCTAAGGTAAGTATTGAGGTGGCTGTGGAGTTGATGTACACAAAAGGTTTTTTACCTTCATGCATAGAATGCATGAAGGTAAAAAACCTCAAGCCTTTAGAGCCACTTTAAGGGATGTCGTCCAGGACAATGTCCCAGAGACAAAACACATTGGATGGAGCTTAGCGGTGACGTCATCACGCCAGCTTGGACAAGTGGTGCATTTGTGATCTGTCTGAATCGAACTTGTGTTTTGTACATATTTGCCTTTATTTTAATAAAAGATGTGGTTACATTTTATGAAATTCCTCTTATACTTCCTCCACATCAAATGCTGAGCTTTTCTGGCAATTACTGATGTGAAACACTGAGAGGGAGAGATCCATCTCTCCATCCATCAGGGATCTATGTGGCTTCCTGCAAAGCACTGACAGATGCCATGGTGTCTTAGCTTCTGTTAAGCTGCTGTGTATGCAAAGTTCTTGGAGCACTGGAAAGGTTTTCTAGCACTGATAAAGCACTGAAGCATTTACTCTGACACTGTTAACAGTTTTGGGGATTTCTCACACTGTTGAGACTTTTTTTCACATTATCCCTTTGATTGGAATGCACTTAATTATATTTTAAGTGTAAAAGGTTTTTTTAATGTATATATAAATACTTATATTTCATTATTTTATATCATTTATGATTTAAAGGAGCAGAGCAACATTTTTTTTTTTTTATGTACGGTATGTTTTATCTGCTAAAGTTTCTTTAATGATCGTCAGCTCTTCTTCATATGCTTCTGAAAGGAAAGTTTCATTCAGCATTTCTAAGACTTCCTGGAGCAAGCCCCTGTTCATTATCAGAGCTGAAACAGATTTAATATTCATGGAACAGCCTGAAGATAGAGAGACATCCGTGACATCGGAAGCATTGCTAAACCAGTAAATGGATCAGTTAGTGCCTGGCACAGGAGTGTAAATCACACAACCTACTAAACAGAATCACAAATGTATTTCAAATGTCTATTAAAGCTGAAGTCCAGGATAAGCAAATGATATCTAAATACAAGAGTCATGTGTATTTTTTTTTTAAATCTTGGAGTGATTTGTGTATTTTTTTCAGATCTGTGCAGTGATACAGTGTGTGAAAGTTTACCTCTGTGCAGGGTGGTGGATACTGTATCCACTCCCTTCACATGCAGCCTATAGTGGGAGGATCTGTTCAATCTCTCCCACAGATCTGCTAAACTTTGCACAGTGATGATGTCATCACTAGTTTTACAAGTTAAAATCTGGCCTTGCAAAGATTTTTTATTGGACATAATGTGGATTTATATCCTCCGTTGATATTTTAGAATATATTTTGATTAAAATGCTCATGCCTGTAGTTCAGCTTTAAGCTACTTGCCACCAATTACATTTCAATTTTTGGGTCCCCACATATACAGTTATGACATCCTTTCCTGTTTACCGAAACATACATTTGAATCCTTAATATTGTGGTCCTTGCCTTAAAAAAGTATTCTTGAATTACAGGATAAGTCACTTTGAAAGGTACTGTTGATATAAGCATCATGGTGATTATATTACAGTAGAACAGCACCAAAAATTATTAAATAAAAGGGAAAAGCCCATTTATCTGGCCGACCACAGATAGCCTAATGACGGCTTCACTTCGGCCGGCCAGTTCTGGAACGAGGTCATACGACGTCCTCCCAGAACATGCTCACCCGCGTGCCCCCGGGGGCGCGCACCCGGCGATCTCCTTGATCCTAAGGACACAGCTGATCAAGTGATATGGTAAAAGGCCAATCATAGTGGCCTTTTACCACGTGATCTGCCATGTCCAATGACACACTGATCACTGACCATTGCCCATCAGTGCCGCCTATCAGTGTCCCATCAGTGCTGCCCAGGGGCGGACTGACAACTCATGGGGCCCCCCGGGCAATAGGGGATCATGGGGCCCCTGTGTCCTTGCCCAAACTCAAAAAAGCCTATGAAAAAGGTACCAGGGGCATCTCATGGGGCCCCCTACTGACCTCGGGCCCTCGGGCAGTGCCCGAGTTTCCAAATGGTCAGTCCGCCCCTGGTGCTGCCTATCATAGGCCATCAGTGCTGCCTATCAGAGTCCCATCAGTGCTGCCTATCAGTGCCGCCTATCAGTGGCCCATCAGTGCTGCCTATCAGTTCCCATCACTGCTGCCTATCAGTTCCCATCAGTGCTGCCTATCAGTGCAGCTTCATTAATGCACATCAGTGAAGGAGAAAAATTACCTGTATGCAAAATTTTATAATAGAAACAAAGAAAAACTTTTTTTTTTTCAAATTATTTTGTTTATAGCGCAAAAAATAAAACACCCAGTGGCAAGTAAATACCACCAAAAGAAAGAAAAAAATGATTAAAATTTTAACATTGGGTACAATGTTGCATGACCGCCCAATTGTCATTCAAATTGCGACAGCTCTGAAAGCTGAAAATTGGCCTGGGCACGAAGGGGGTATAAGTGCGCGGTAGGCAAGTGGATAAGAAATAAAATCACAAAATCAGTGTTTTTATGCCACTGGATGTCCTCAGCCTGGTAGCATACATCATTTAACCCACTTCCTCTGAGCCCAGGTCATTCTGGATTCTCTCCAGCTTGTCACTGGATAATAAAAGGAGAAGCAGAACAGTAATGAGCTCATCACTCTGTCACTCTGCTTTCTTGCCCTATCAGTTTATGAACGGATTGACTCCTTGTTCTGCTTCTTCCCCTTACACTCTTACCGATTATAAGTCTTTTAGATAAGCTCGGAGTGTAGCTTCAAAATGGGCCATGGGTTCCTATGCATTACCTCTCAATCTTGTACTGATTTTTTAATAACCTCTCCAATGACTCCTGCACCAAGCCACCTACAAATGATTCCTCCATAGCCTTGTAAAGGGCACCTGTCACCCTTTTACAATTTGACACATTAAGCCATTATATAAAAAAAAAAAAAAAAAAAAAAAAAAAAAATTACTGAAAAGAAAAAACATGGCAACCCCCCAACCTATTGTATGCTGGTATAAGGAAACGTCAGCTATGGAGCTTGTGTCTAGAATTAAATGTATATTCTTTTTATAACAAGATATACAGTTTTATTAAATAAGCTGGCAGTTACTATCAAATGATTTAAAGATGCTGAGCTACACTGCAGGCAAACCAAATGAAACCATTTATCACAGCATTTCTACCAGAAGAAGATTAAATCAACACAAAAGAAACATTTTATTTATTTAATTGTTTAATACATAAATGACTATTGTTACACTTTGCCAGTCTCTTCCTTGGCCTGATCTTATTTCTGGGGGACTTATTAACATTATGTTGCATTGATTCCTAAATCACAACTTCTTGATCTTTAGCAGGCACATAAAGATCTAAGGAATGAAAATTATACATGTCTAACAAACTTTCATATTGTCATTTGTGGGGTCAATACTTGAGGGAATTTCTGAAATATTATTTACGGAATATATTTCCCTACTATATATTATCATAATGTTATTTCTACCAGCATAGCTTACACTGCAATCTAGTGGCAACACACTGTACTACAGCTTTGTAAATCAACACTATATGATTTAACGATTCCTTTTCTGGGATTACATTGCAAAATCTTCAGGATTTAAAGTAAATCTAAGCCCAAATCACTAAAATCCCATATACTGTAACCTTTACATGTAATTTACAAAGTCATTTTCACGCTAAATCTATAGCTTTTATTACAATTATTTTACATTGCTATGAAGGTCCTTGCGCATATGGAAAAAAATATATTTGAAATATACTTTAGAAATATTCTTCTCAAATATATTGACATATATTTGACATGCTACAATTTTGGCCATATTCAATACATTTCAAAATATATTTCGATAAATATATATATATATATATATATATATATATATATATATATATATACACATACATACACACTGCATGTCGAAATGTGTTTTTTTTATATTACAAAATATATGAAAAACCTTTCTAAAAGTATACATTTTAAATATATTCTTCAGATTTTTTTGAACATATTAAAAAGTCATTTTAACATATATTTTTACATGTATTTTTAAATGCATCCCAAAAATGTGATTTGTATTTTTAAAGACATACAGTATATTTGAAATGTATTTTTTAAAATATTTTTCATATATTTTGTAATAAAAATGCATTTCAACATACAGTATACTGTATATATATATATATACATATATATATATTTATAAATATATTTTTGAAATATATTTAATATGGCCAAAATTGTATAATTTCAAATATATGTCAATATATTTGGGAAGAATATTTTTCAAATATATTTCAAATATATTTTTCTTCCATGTGGGTGTTTAAGCTCTTCCTGATAGGCTCAGGTTCACTTCCAGCCCTGCTTTGGCAACCTGTCACATTTTTACAGCTGCTGAGGCTATATGGACTGGACGGTGCACCAAGCAGTACTTGCGTTTAGAGTGGTATGTGCTCAGGGACAGGGGCGGACTGACCATTTGGAAACTCGGGCACTGCCCAAGGGCCCGGGGTCAGTAGGGGGCCCCATGAGATGCCCCTGGTACCTTTTTCATAGGCTTTTTTGAGTTTTGGGCAAGGACACAGGGGCCCCATGATCCCCTATTGCCCGGGGGCCCCATGAGTTGTCAGTCTGCCTCTGCTCAGGGATGAATGCTCAGAACACAGGCTGCTAAACACCATGTGTGTAGAAGGTCTAAAAGCCCAACCTTGGCCAAAATCTTTTTTTTTTTTCTTTAATTTAAAGAGAAAGTCTCTTTTTAACAGCTTTATAGTGGAGAGAGGGAAGCACCTACTAAGTGTAGTATAAGGACTGTATATTAAAAACACAAAATTGGCAACTTGTGATATAAAAAGGTTAATAGGCTTGTCAGTAAAGAAGACTGCTATTCTGTGTGTGTCTCCAACACAAATTTGGCAACTTACATTGTTAGAAAGGTCAACAGGCTCATCAATAAAGAAGATCACTGTTCTTTGAGTAATGACTCCATCCTTCCATGCCCTGGCTGGCTCTGTGTATCTGGATAGATGAGTCAAAGGTGGCGCCTCAGGTTTCTGGCTTCCAGGAATCACACTGAAACTCATCATCACTTCTACTAGCATGCACTCCACTTTAGGTCCCAAAAACCAAAAGTTCGAGGCACCATCTTTCCAGATACACAGATCAAGCCAGTGAATGGAGGGATGGAGACATCACACACAGAACAGCAGTCTTCCTTATTGATGAGCCTGTTGACCTTTCTAACAATGTGAGTGGCCAAATTTGTGTAGGAGACATCACAAACAGAGCAGCGGTCTTTTTTACTGACGAGCCTGTTATCCTTTTTATATCGCGAGTTGCCAATTTTGTGTTTCTACTAAACAGTCCGTATGCTACTTTTAGTAGGCACTTCCCCCCTTCCTTGTTTCTTTAATTACAGAGACTGCTTCTGCTCTGGGGCCAGCTGCCATGAGTGTTATGAACTATTGCCAGAGACTTATGGACTCAATTATAAAATAATATATGTTCATGGAATCAGCCAGATTAGATGGTGCACCTACTTTTTCTTTTTAACAGCTGTATGTATCCATTTTAGCCACCATTCACACTTGAGTGTAGGATATATAGTCGAAATTGTGACTTTTTGTGGATTTTTGCATATTTGTAGGAGTGAAGTTTGTACAGGGGCTTCTTTGGGTTGGGGTCACACATTTCTGGTCCCATAGGCTTTTATTATAGGAGTGCCTGAAAAATGCAAGTTTTTATTTTTGCATGTTCTTCACACACTCTCATTAAAGTCAATGGGCTAAAAAAAAGCCCTATTCTCCTTTAAAGTAGCCCATGTACAGTTTGGAGATCCAGGTGTTGAACTATAAGTGCCTGAATGCTCATATGTGAATAGGGATAGTTTAAAAGCATGTGAGTTGGCTTGCTACGTATTTTGGAGCTTTGAATTTCGAGCTATGAAATGTTCAGGTGTGGATGGAGACTACTCCCCAGTGGGGACAAAAACAATAAAACATTGGCATAAGTTCCCATAAACAGGGGCGGACTGACCATTTGGAAACTCGGGCACTGCCCGAGGGCCCTGGGTCAGTAGGGGGACCCATGAGATGTCCCTGGTACCTTTTTCATAGGCTTTTTTGAGTTTGGGCAAGGACACAGGGGCCCCATGATCCCCTATTGCCTGGGGGCCCCATGAGTTGTCAGTCCGCCCCTGCCCATGAAGCCACTTTTTCATTGTGCCTCTGTTTCCCCACACTTCCTGTGGCATTGGCAGGCATACAGGAAGTGAAAGGGACTCTCCATAGGGACACAAACAACAACAGAAACCTGATAAAGGTACTAACCTTTGCTCACTCTATAAAAAATGTCACCACTAATGAAGTATATGTTCTTAATATTCAATAGAGAAGATAGGACTTTCAGGGTGCATGAACATGAATACCAAATATATTAAAAAGTTATATAATTTTTATTTTGTATTTTTGTAAAAAAACACAAGAAAGGAAAAAATACAGAAACATAAAAACAATATCAGTACTAAGGGTACAACTGAGATTCAAACTCGGTTAGGTAATTGTAATAATTGGAGCAACTACAATTACCTAACCAAGTTTGAATCTCAGTTTTACCCTTAGTACTGAAATTGTTTTTATATTTCTGTATTTATTCCTTTCTTGTTGTGTTTTTTTTACAAAAATACGAAATAAAAATTATATAACTTTTTAATATATTTGGTATTTATGTTCATGCACCATGAAAGTCCCATCTTCTCTATTGAATATTTGCAATTTTAAGGGATGTGGTGCAATAATCATATCTGGTTGCCCGCTTGCCACTTCACTGTTACTATATGTTCTTAACTCAAAAAAGTGCCTTCCATTTCTCTCAGCATCCTCCAAATTCCTTTTTGTTTGTTTCTGTAATCCAACTTCCTGTTAGGGGTGGCTACGTTTATTCTCCATGGTA